AATATTAATTATAAAATTGTAAACATTAGCATAATAAATATAAGGTACCTAGTGGTAAGTATTTATTATCAATTATCAATTTTATTATTTTGTTATTTAATCGAAGTTTGGTTGGGTTTAGTAAATAGGCTGTTGTTTTGTTCAATTAAAGAGGTCAATAATATTACGTTTTAAACCCAGCTGATTATCAATCCACCTTGGTATTTTTTAGCACATAATTTTTTTATAATATTATATTATAATCTATTGTGGAAACACAATATTAAAATGCTGCATACGAATTAAAAAAAAAATGTTTATAATTTGTAATAAAAAAAATAAAATAGGTGTATTGACAGTATTGATATACCATAGTATTAATAGGTAACAATTATAAGTCTTTATAACCGTGGTGCCTAATAAGCCCATTTAATATTTGAGGATTATCACGGCTGGATTGTATTTCATAATGTTCCACAATTATTTGTTCCAATCACAGTGGTTCCAATAGACATATTTTGTTCCAAACAGTTAAAAAATAACAAAAATAATATATCCATTGCCCATTGGAGCAAATGCAATTTGAACGTCATTGAGTATTACTAGTATTAGGTATATTACTCTATGAAGTACATTCAACCTATTTGGAACCATCCACTAAGCAGAAATAAAAATATAATATCTTGAATCTTCTTAGGCCGTGTTGGGAACAAATGTTTTTGAAATAGGTACCTACCCATATATTATCTATTTACCATTCTTCATTTAACATATAGGTAATAGGTTACGTGGCAACATATAGGTTACGTGGGGGCGTGGGGCTACGTATAATCTATATAAATAAAAATGAAATGCTGTTATTTGATTATCACATCACTTGAAAACGGTTTGAACGATTTAGCTAATTTTTTTTTTATTTTAATGACCGTAATGGTCCGAATGAGGTTTTTACGGAAAAAAAAATTGTATAAGTTACATTGTATAAACTTACACAACGATTTTGAGATTTCCGATGGAAATAAACAAAATGTTGTTATCGAAATAATTAGTAGAATTTGTAGAAATTATACCTATAATATTTTTTTGTATATAAATGGTTGCCATTAGTTACTCTGGCATGATGATGTAAAAGCATGGATCAAATCGTCGTGTTTATGGCCTCGGACAAAGATTAGTTAGGTATATCTTAAAAGTAAAACAAACATAAGAGACAAGAGTTGAATGTATGTTTGTAGCTTATAAACTCAAAAACTACTTGACCGATTTCGCGACAATAGATAATTTCAAATTGATTTTAGAGATATCAGGAAAGTTTAGTCGTTTAGAGAGTAGTTTGAAATACGTTCGATTTATACAAAGTGCTAACCTTTTCTCGATTTCAGTCGAATTATTCACAAAAAATGCACTGACACCTCGATTTTCCCGTTAACTTAGGTAAACTAAAACCAAGGTATACACCTATACATATATAGTTATATAGTACCTACTATATTTTCACTTGTGAAGTATGGGTTATATACAGTGTTGGGTAAATTACTTTTAAAAAGTAATAAAGTTACTTTACTCGTTACTTAGAGAGAAATGTAATGAAGTTACTTTACTCGTTACTCAAATAAAATTGTAATGAAATTACTTTACTTTTCAAATAGAAAAGTAACTACGTTACTTTCTCGTTACATTTTTTTTTTTATAATTTTTTTTTTAATTGCTTAGCTATTATCATTTAAAAAGCAAAGGAACTAGAAATACACTTCCTACAGAAGATATGGTATAATTTGAAAAAGATGTACCTACAGTTAATAACATAAATACATACCTAACAATATTAATTACTTATAACTTTTAAGTTATAACTATTAAAAATAGTAGTTATAAATTGTACATATGAATATTCGGTCATTACTCATTAGTCATTAGTCATTACTAATAAAGATATTAGATAAGTTTATTATTTTCACCGTTTCTTGTAAAATGCCAAACAGCAATAATAATTATTTATAACACTGCAATGTAAATAATTCGATTTATCATTGGCAGTGTTGGGTAGTAACGTAACGAAAGTAACGCGTTACTGTAACGCCGTTACTTTGTTTGTAACGCGTTACGTAATTTAATTACAATTATTTTCAAATAACGAAAATGTAATGAAAATTACTTTTGATGAGTAATTTACATAGTATAACGCGTTACAGTTTTAAATTATTTAGTACCTATTGCGAATTTCAAAAAAAAAAAAACTTAAAAATATAATGTCTAATGCGGGTATTATTTATCATACAAGTGGTTAATTATTATACGTTCCTAATGTTCTTATTAACTATTGTCTATTATTAAGCATAAACTATACGTCTGTACATGCACTAAAAATAAATATTGATGGATAACCAATGATAAATCGAATTATTTACATTGCAGTGTTATAAATAATTATTATTGCTGTTTGGCATTTTACAAGAAACGGTGAAAATAATAAACTTATCTAATATCTTTATTAGTAATGACTAATGACTAATGAGTAATGACCGAATATTCATATGTACAATTTATAACTACTATTTTTAATAGTTATAACTTAAAAGTTATAAGTAATTAATATTGTTAGGTATGTATTTATGTTATTAACTGTAGGTACATCTTTTTCAAATTATACCATATCTTCTGTAGGAAGTGTATTTCTAGTTCCTTTGCTTTTTAAATGATAATAGCTAAGCAATTAAAAAAAAAATTATAAAAAAAAAAAATGTAACGAGAAAGTAACGTAGTTACTTTTCTATTTGAAAAGTAAAGTAATTTCATTACAATTTTATTTGAGTAACGAGTAAAGTAACTTCATTACATTTCTCTCTAAGTAACGAGTAAAGTAACTTTATTACTTTTTAAAAGTAATTTACCCAACACTGAATTCATTGGTTATCCATCAATATTTATTTTTAGTGCATGTACAGACGTATAGTTTATGCTTAATAATAGACAATAGTTAATAAGAACATTAGGAACGTATAATAATTAACCACTTGTATGATAAATAATACCCGCATTAGACATTATATTTTTAAGTTTTTTTTTTTTTGAAATTCGCAATAGGTACTAAATAATTTAAAACTGTAACGCGTTATACTATGTAAATTACTCATCAAAAGTAATTTTCATTACATTTTCGTTATTTGAAAATAATTGTAATTAAATTACGTAACGCGTTACAAACAAAGTAACGGCGTTACAGTAACGCGTTACTTTCGTTACGTTACTACCCAACACTGGTTATATACTTATCTAATATCTAAAGATGGATGTTGGATTAGACTCAACAAATAATGGACCGTTTTCAATAAAAAATTATAGGTATCAATATATTCTTAAATTCCTTGAGGCTTGGAGGGTGTTTAAATAAGCTTATTTTTTCAACCTATGCTATATAAGTAGCTGTAACTAAAGGATCGGTAGCTGCTCACACATACATTTTTTTAAACTGACGAAAAAATATTATTATTATTTTTGTTTATTTTAATGGTTGCCATTGGTTACATAGTATATTCCTATTTTTTATTCAAATTAGTAGAAATATATTGCCATATTACAAACATTTTTAGATTCTGAGCGCCGAGCGGAGCGAAGAAGCTAGTGGTTATACAATGGTGTTTATTTTTATTATCTTGTGTACAACATTTCTACCAGAAGGAACGCTTCGGTTTCAACTTATAGTACATCATCTTTCAGCAAATTGGATCAAGATGGTACTTTACAGAAGTCATTTTTCGATTTTCTCTATAGTTATTTAATGCCACGGGAAAAACCACCAACAAATTACAAAAAACCGCTAAAAATTAGATTTTTTCTAACGCTTTGTTTATCACCATAGAAACGAATAAAAAATAATAATATTATAATATTAATCCAACTTATCTAAATAATATAATAAATAATAACAATTTAATATCCAGACTGACAAACCGTCTCCGCTCAGAATCGTTTTGCTTATACATATATCATTGAATAATGAATTCAAGTGTAATACAATCCATTATACATTGATCCACTTGTAATCTACTGTACAGCAGAGCGACATCCACTTACCCTTTTTTTTTTACAAATATATTTGTATACATTATTAGCACCGGGATTCTGGAAAAACAAACAAAAGTTAAAGAATTTTTAAGCAAAAAATTTGCCATCGACAAAATCAATTTTGATTTTTAGCATAAAAAATCTTAGAAAAATTAGGTACTGTAGATACATGACATTTTCACTGAACGTTTATATCAGCAATTTCTACGCACCATACAAATTTAAAAATATTGCGACTATTTTTGAACTATTTATAGGTATAAGGATTAAGGATATCTTATAACCTTTTTTAAATTATTGTAAATAAAATATTTAATGATCGGTCATAAAATTGAAAATGTAATACAACGTTCCTAATAAGTTGTTTTAAAGTATTAAAATTCAAATTTTGACAAAATGTATCAAATTTAAATATAATAATTATTTTGTAGTTAAAAATGTATAAAATGTTCAACTTTTATAGCTAAGGATTGAAAATTTAAAACAAGGTTCCACGTAAATAGGTTTTATATAAATTACTTTATTCACCTTACTTATTAGTTATTGTTCATTTTTTGCTGTTTTATTTAATAATAATATTATAATTTTTTATAATTAAGTAATAATATGTATTAAATATATTTTAATATAATATCTATGATAACCACGGTCTTATCACAGAATAGATTAAATTGATTGAGTTCTTATCATGGTCTTAATTTTTTTTTTACAAGACAGGCACAAAGATATGGACAGAGGTCGTGAACTAATATTTAAAGACATTATTATCACAGATTACAGAACAATATATTATCATAGAACAACAATGTAATATTATGAAAATATCAAATAATGAATAATTTTTTAATAATTTCATCATTCAACTATTTTAATTAACGGTGTTAACACCACTACACTTTAGTTTATAAGCTGTTGTGATTTGTGGCCAACCAAATTAGTTAACATATTTACTTATAATGTCATGTTTATTTAATAAATTCGGATCAAACTGGAAACCAAACCATCTATTATTCAAGGTAAATTTTGAAAACCGTCATAATTAACAAACCATAATAAATATTTTAAATGTTTTCAGGCTTGTAGACCTAAGTCAACCGTTAGAGATAAATTCCGTGAGATAGTTCAAAGTGGACCAGACTTATCAGATTTTATAAATGAAACACCAATAACATCAGAAAACTATAGTGGTAAATTGAGACGAGCAAAAGGTGAAGAAGATAGATTGCGTTTACCTCCTTGGCTTAAGACTAAAATACCAACCGGGGAAAACTTTTCAAAAATAAAAGAACAGCTACGTGACTTAAACTTGCATACTGTTTGTGAGGAAGCTCGATGCCCAAACATTGGTGAATGTTGGGGTGGAGGTAAACACGGCACAGCTACTGCAACAATAATGGTAACATTTAAAAAAGAAATTTTGTATGCAATTTTACTTTTGTTGATTAAATATTTTGTAGTTATTGGGTGACACTTGTACTAGGGGATGTCGATTTTGTTCTGTCAAAACATCTAGAGCTCCACCACCTCCTGATCCCAACGAACCAGTTAATACAGCAAAAGCCATTGCATCATGGGGACTTGATTATATTGTGTTAACATCAGTTGATCGTGATGGTATATTAAATAAAGAGAAAGTTACATTGATTGATGAATAGTATGTACTGAACTGTTTTTTTAGATTTGGCTGATGGTGGATCTGCTCACTTTGCTGAGACTGTAGTTGAAATAAAACAGCGGTTCGTTAAAATATAGATGGTAATACACTTGTACTATTGTTACATAGCTATAATTTTTTTTTTTTAGTAATCCTAATATAATGATTGAGTGCTTGGTACCTGATTTCCGTGGATCAGCTGATAATATTAAAACTATTGTAGATTCCGGTTTAGATGTTTTTGCTCATAATATTGAAACTGTTGAAAAGCTGACACCATTCGTTAGAGATCGAAGAGCAAATTATAGGTAAATATAATATAATTAAATCTTTATTTTTATTAGTACTTAAGAGGACGCTACACAGATATTTGTTGTTTTCACCTTACATAGACAATTGTATGCTTGGCAGATCACGTTTAGCTTCCTTAGCTTAAAAATTAGAGTGAATTATCTAGGGCACAGGTTCTCAACCTATTTAATCCACTGCCCACTTTCAGAATCAATAATTTTTTAAAGCCCTCCAAAATTGTATAAACTTACCATCTGCAGTGTATCTTAAAAACAGTACCTAGTTATTGTAATTGTTATTCTGTATCAATCATGTAACTTTTGAAAGACTTGATCGATTGAGGTAAAAGTTAGAAGTACCAATAGTTTCCTTCAGTCTCAAAGTATGTTTATAGCATATATTTTAGCTCATAAATTATATAATTTATCATAATCAAGATTACTAATATGGCTATACATTAAAATGTGTAGTATTAAAATGATGTAAAATAGGGAGGGTTTGAGATTAGGATGGCCAGATATAAAAATACTAAAATACGGATTAATTATTATTTTTATATTTACTAATATAAAATAACATCCTTCATTGAATAAAAAAAAAAAGTATTTCCAGTAGTATTTCCATAATGATATTAATATAGGTACCAGGTTAAGTTGTTAAGTCCTACATTACCATAGGGGGGATTTGGGGGCTAAGCCCCCCAAAAATGTCCATAGCCCTCCCAAACATTTCCTACATTTTGTTTTAAGCTTATTCAATATTATCAAAGTAAGGCTTTAGCCCCCCAAATCTCAAACGCTATTTGCGCCTATGTATATTACATATATACATTTCTACATATCTATTATACTTATTATAAAATTAATCTTTAATCCATTAAATTATAGACAAACTATGTCAGTGTTACATAAGGCCAAAGAATTTAATCCACAACTCATAACTAAATCATCCATAATGCTGGGTCTTGGCGAAACTGATGAGCAAATTGAACAAACATTTAAAGGTAATTATTACATATTGCAAATGTGGAATATTCATTCTTCTTTTGTTTGCTACTTAAAAACATATTTTTTTAGATCTAAAAGAATCATTAGTGGATTGTGTTACACTTGGACAATACATGCAACCTACAAAACGACATTTAAAAGTTGTAGAATATGTCACTCCTGAGAAGTTTAAACATTGGCAAGAGGTTGGCGATAAGATGGGATTTTTGTATACAGCAAGTGGTCCACTTGTAAGAAGTTCATACAAAGCTGGTGAATTCTTTATTGGCAATGTATTAAAAAAACGTAAAGAAGTACAAGAGTCTAAAATATCTGACACCACTTAAATGTATTGTTGTTATTGTTGTTTATTATATTTTATATTGTGTTATTATTAAAATATAAAATATAATGCCTTATATTGTTATGAAAATCTTGTAAGAATCTGCTTTAAAAGTTTAAATAGTTAAGAAAATATTTTATTTATTACATAGTATTTTAAAATTTAATGTGAATAAAGCTCTAGGGCTATGGATTGATTAAGTATGTAGGCATAAAGGCATAAAATATTTACAAATATGCAAAAATGTATATTTCAATGAATTATCTTTATTTTTGATTATAATATATTGGTAACATATTACAGGTATTTTCCTAGTTTTGCTAATTGGTAGTTGGTAGTTTTTTTAAGCTACATAATATTTTTATAAGTAGAAGTGTTATTGTAACTACCTCTCATATTCCGTACTCATCACTTAGTCCTCCCTGGGCCATGTTAAGCCCTTAGTGTTTAATATAAATGTAACAAATAATTATTGTTTTTTTAATTAAAATTATATTTTTTAACCGATATTTAAATAATTATAATTTTCATTTCACTAGTTCTACTGTTCTCTATGTAGATCGCACAAACACATTTTACCAATGCCAATTTGCTACTCATTTTGATATTTTAAGCCTACTTCAAATATAAAAAAATTATTAACTACCAGAAGTCCAGAAATAATTTATTGTGTCAAAAAGTATAACACACTTAGAAAACAAAAATATGATGCACAACACAGTCAATAACTGATAATCATAAAATAAACACAGTCAAAATTCCGTATATGAAGTATAATTAACTTTAACTCATAGGTCACCTATTTTAGGGGATAACTTAACACAATGTTATGCTTATGAGTTATGACCAACATTTTTGAATTTAAGAGGGAATTTTGGAAGTCAGGATTGGCATGATAGCAAGGTGATAACAATCAAATTATTTAATTATTGTTTTATTAATGGATTGTTTAACTCTGACATTTTTTACTCGTCCGTCCGCACTCTGCAGCATGATATCATAATATTAAACAAATAATATGGCTATTGGCTATGGTCTGCGCACAGATATAAAATATCTTTATATCTGTGGGTCTGCGTAACAAATTACTTGCCATAATTACCGTATGCCCTCCTCCCCGCCAACCAGGACCGTACGTACTGCAACATTGGTTAAAGAATCGAATGACCACAGTGCGTGCAACAAAACAATATTATTGTTTCGATCCGTGAAACCCTTGGTGGGGACAGTTCGGTCCTGCGATAAGAATTCGGCACAGCCTCTATCATATTGGCACAGCCAATGTTTACACTTTTCGTTTTCGATACCTTTGTAGATTTTTGATTAGACATGTATGTAGTTGTATATAGTACGTACTACATACATGTATGTGAGTGTTGTCGGTCGTCGGAACTCGGAGTCTGACTGATGTTTAGTTCTGATTTTACTATTCTAGTTTCTTTCGATTCTCGATAATTTGTACAATTTAGGTAATTCATACATACCTATATACCTACAAGTCGCTACTTTTTATTTTAACTATTTGATTCAACTACTACGCGTAGTCGATTCTTAAAATCCATTCCGTCGACTGCTACAATATTATACACTAAATTTGTTTTATAAATATTTTTATCAGATATTTAATCATATTATACTCGTTTAATATACGTTTAAAATTATACTCAATTATAGTTACAATCCAGGAATTTATAATATTGTATCCGCAATTCTGAATCAATAGTTAAGTTTCAATAGAAATTTGATTATCATGAATAATATGATGTGTGTTTGTTTTCTGTCAAGCGTACAACAATTTTGTAAAAATCTAGCTCATTGTACATTTTTCATTCTTTAGATCGACAAAATGAAATGGAATCGTACCGTAAATATAGTTCGAGACATCATGACTCGCGTCACCACAGCAAGCACCATAAACATCGACACCGCCACCATCACTATAGATATGATGAAGAGGAATATGAATCGCATCGTGTTCACCAGCGACATCACAACCACAGAAGCAGTGATGAAGATAGTGAATATGAGCATAACAGAAATCCATCTACAAGGGTTGAGAAACCTCCTTCACCAATGTATCATCAACCTACTAGAAGGCCAACTACTCCTCCGCCGCCACCACCACCACCACCACCACAACAAACAGTATCAATTAGTGAAAAGCCAAAAGAACGCAATTGGAAACTTTTGGCCGATCCATTTCTCAGTAAAGCAGTCACTAAAATATATCGCTACGATGGTGTTTTAGATCCCTCGTTACCTGAATTGCCCAATGACGATCCACGAAGAGCATATAAAATTTTTACTTTGCCCATTGAATTGCCAGTGCCTAAATTTAAGGTATGTATTTTAGATTATCAATCTAATCTACCTATTAGATTTTCAAAAACTTAGTCAGTAATATTTTATATTTTTATTTTTCTAAATAGGTAATAAATGCTTAAAAATTCATACCATTAACTAAATGTAAAATCTGTCTAAAAATATAATGGGGAATGGTACATTTATATGTACATACCTATTATGATTTATGATTTATGAACGAAAAATTAAATTTAAATACATTTATTTTTTCCAAAATTATGGTTCTATCTATTATATTATAGTTTATACCTGTGTACAGTCTTCTAATACATTTCGAATGGCAGAAAATGGGTAAAAATATATGAATAGTTTTGTGATAGGTACAACAAATGTTTTGAACAAATATAATAACATATTATAAAGTCATCAATTAAGAGACTGAATTAATACATTTAATTATTTTTAATGTAAAAGAGTAAAGAAAACTTGATAAAACCATTAAACAATCTTTAAAATGTTAAAATTCTTATTCTACAATTTCTTTTATCAGATAAACACATGTTTTTTATTTTTAATTAATGAAATTTAGTGGAAAGTGTAACATGATAAAGAAAGGTTAGAATAGTTTGATAACCATTTATCACAACATGTAATAGGTATGTGTTATAACAATATTATTGGCTTTGCACATAATTTAATAATACATTACTTCTATTTATGTTTGTGTAGAATTGATTTATCATATATATGATAATTTTACATAAATATAATATATAAAAAATATAATTAAAAATGGTTTATTTCGTGGAAACTACATTTTTTTAAATTTATATTTAAAAAAATGTAGGTATATTATGAATACAGAAGCATAATATTACAATATATACACATTATTATTATAAATTTAAATATATTTAACTATTTATTAAATTATACATTTATGTGGAGATGTAGGTAGCTTGGTCTGAAAATATTATTCTCTATTTTTACCAAATTTTATATTTTCATTAATTTTATTAATTACAATGAGAAATCAGAATCACAAGTAAATTTGTTAATTATATACAGTTTTTCTTTTTTCAGTTTAATATTATTTCATTAAATATTAGATTTATTTTTAGATAACTTTGATTCAATTTCAATCAAATTATTGATGAAATTAAAACAAATTTTAATTATTATTAAAATAAGTAATTTTATTTATTTATTTATTCAGCCAAATACAATATCCATAAAATACATCAATAATAACTGATACGAATACCAATGAGCTATAAGCTCGTATCTGGTATATGGAGTTCAACGGTATTACAAATATGATATAATTAAATAAATATAACATGATAAAAGGAACTTTAGAAACAAAAATTGACATCAGCATTACATATTATAGTTACATATTATTATATTAATATGTTATTCAATATTATGTTTAGACATATTGACTTTTTATGATTTTATTGATACACATATCATCAAGATCACTAGCTATTTTATTTATTGATTTTTCTTAATTATAATTTATATTAATTATATCATTGGTATTATTGGATTGACTTTCACATAAACTTTTTATTATTGTTTACTTCGTTATTTAAACGGTTGAAAATAGCTTTCCCTATGTAATTAGGAGAATTTCTAGAACTAGTTAATAAAGTATATTATGACGGTTTAATTTCCTGTTCTTCTGTCTATTATTCCTTTAGCATTGAGTGTATGGTTCTGTATGGATTAACTAAAATTTGCCTAATGTATAATTTATAAACAGATAATATATTAGTATGGTTGAATAATTCTCTGATGGGTATTTTAATGGTAGGGAGTATGCTACTTTTACAATCATTTTTTGTGTAGTATGCAATGTATTGATATCTGTTCTGTTGATACAAATTAACACATTTGTTATTGGTAGTAAACATAATTTTTCAAATAAATAGTGATTATAGGGTTTTATCGAAAAAAACTATAATAATATTTTAATAATAGAAATTTATCTGCTATCTGGTTATGTATAAAAATATATATAAATATAGGTTAAATTGTACTAGAAAACAAGAATAGAAATAATATTATGTTTTAAACTAAAAATGAATTTTTTTAGCTTGACAGAAACTACATTGGCCAACGTCCTGAAGTAGAAGTAACTTTTTCTAATTTAAACGATAATATTGATAAAGTGTTTCTGACTGACTTGGTGAGTGAATTTACTCAAATTAATAAAAGTTAGATAGTAAAATATGTCATATAAAAAGTTATTATGATGCTTTATTCGGCATTATAATTACTTGATTATTATTAGTTAAAGTATATTGTTGTGTTTAAACATCAAATTATTTTTTATTTTTTTATTTTATGTCAAATATACATATTTTAGTATTTTACTATATATTTTAAACAGTGGAAATTGTCAACAATGACAGGTTTATTAAATTCTACAAAAATAAACTTAAAAAATCTTACTATCCCCTAAGGGGACGTTATAGTGACATTTGTTGTCTCCGTCTTATAAGTACGTAACATAGCAAATTTTACTCTCAGCAGATCACATTTATCTCCGTTAGTTTAAAAATTAGAGTGAATCGACCTATTATGAAACTTGATGGTAAGAATATTATCTGTGTTTGTATGTGGGTTTTTTTTACGATTGTTCAATTGTGTAGCAAGTTATGCGTGTACAATATAGTGTAAATTAAAAATTCTTATAACTCACTTAAAAACTAAATTATTGTAAAACCCACATACAAACACAGAAAATGTTCTTACCATCAGGTTTTATTATAGGTCGATTCACTCAAATTTTTAAACTAACGGAGCTAAACATGATTTGCTGATCATACATTTTGTATGTTATGCACTCATAAGACGGAGACAGCAAATATCTGTGTAGCATCCTCTTAAAATGTTCTTATATCTTTCCCAAAAGATTTTAGCTTATACATTAAAACAAAATAATTAAATTATCAATGCTCACTGACAAAATTATAACTATTTTATATTTTTATTATTATTATGTCTAATAAGTAGTGAAAATATTTAAAATAATGTTATTACTCATATTTTCTATTATTACAATATATGATCCTTTTTACTATTTTTAGGTAGTGAAATTTGGAAAAATAGAATTGTTACAAATATTCTACCACCCAGTCACTAAAAAACATTTGGGTTTAGCCAAAATTATTTTTGAAGAGGCATCATCAGCTAGACACTGTGTTCAAAGGTTAAATGATACATCTGTGATGGGAAAAGTTGTCAGTGTATTTTTGGACCCTTTTGGTAAAAATATATTTTATTATTTTAAATTTTTGGACATTTTTATAACTAAATTATGTATACATTGTACAGCTTCAGAATGTAAATCAATGTTTGATAAGATGACGGAAGAAAAACCAAAACCTTTGTTGGAAGTACCTAAAAGTAAACCACTTCCTATTTCTAATCGAGATCGACGGTCAGTTAAAATTTCTAAATCCAAAGAAGAATCTTCTGTTAAACCTCAGACGGAAGAGAAACCATCATTGCCACCCAAAACAGATAATTACAAAAATTATAGTTATGACTATACCACTCCTTCTCCAGCCACTAGTGACCTTCCATCAGAGCAAAGTTATAGCAGTGGATATAACAGTATGGGTGGTACTCCTGCATACAACGGGACTTATCCACCCTATTCCTTTAATAGGTATAAATGATAAACTATAATTTATTATTTATTATTATTGTTATAATATTATAAGTTATTTTTAAATGGTGTTTATTGTTATTATTATTTTTTTTAAGATATCCTTGCAGTGTTCCTCCAGTACCAAATAACCATTGGTGGGGAGAATCTAGTCCTATACCCCCACCTTTACCTTCAGCACCAGCACCAGCATCAATATCAGTACCTGCACCAGCACCATCCTCTAAGTTAGATTCTGAAGCACAATCAAAATTGGATTTAGATACTAGAATTGAAATGATGCTTAGTGGCATGTCTTCTCAAGGTGCTAGTGTAGAGCCTGCATTTTTATCTATTGTGAAAAAAGAACCTGATGATGTTTCTGATATTGTGGAAGATACCATTGATGATGATAATAGTCTGAATATTCCTCCACCGCCTGGAGATAATGACAATCAATCTGATTTAGACGAAGAAAAGATTAGCAATGATGAAGAAACGTTACCTCCACTTTCTAATCCTCCATCACCTTTCTTGTCAAAAGATGTTTATATTAAGTGTTTTGAAACTGCAGCCGAACAGTTAAAAATTACTAGAGAAAAAGAGAAATTGGAAGCAAAAAGCTTCTTAAATAATACTATAAGAAATGGTAATACCATACAAACATTAAACTATAATTTGTTACAAAAACTTAATAAATATTTTTATTTGGTTTTAGTAATTAATAAGAATATGCACGATTCTTTGCACAGTGATATCAGCTCCAGTGATGACGAATTCATGTTAGGGTCAAGTCTTAAAGGAAACACTCCTGATGATGCAATGAGTTTATCTAGTTTGTCATCTCGCGATGAGAAAATTGTGGAAAATGATCCTAATATACCACCTCAATATCCACCATTGCCAAATTATCCTCCTCAAGGATATTATTATCCACCACAATTTAACAATCATTATGGCTATCAATATTTTCCATACCCTCCTAATTATCCATATGGTCCTCCGTTACCTAGAGCTAAGTTCTATGAACCAGAACTACCACGTGATAGGCCTGAAAATAAAAATTACCCAGCGGAACTTAGAAAGTATGTGCTACTTATTTCAAAAACAGTTTCATTTATAATATTAATATTAAATATTTTTATTTTAGGAATTTAATGAATGCAGTGTTATATGAGTTAAGAGTTATTATTAAACGCGACCTTATGAAGAAAATGGGGACAGCTGTGGCTTTTAATGCTCTGGATCAATGGTGGGAAGAAGCTGAAAGGCAGTCAAAAGTAAATTTTATCTACTTGAATTTGTTTTGAAGTTATTGACATTTTTCAAAATATTTATAGTCTACTAGCATGACTAACGAAGAGCCTAAATCTGCACAACCAGCTCCTAACCTTAATAGTATCTTGGAAGCTGGCACGGAAGGCTTAGAAACATTGGCTCTAAGTGGATTAGGTTTAGGATTCCGAGCCGCTATTCCTAAAATGCCATCATTCCGTGTAAGTTAACTTGTCTTATAAATGTATATTGTATATACTTTTTTATTATTATTAACAATTATATACCGTGTGTTCAATTTTAAAGGTAACAGGAAATATTTCGATCGTGTGACATTGAATTTGAATCGGGGTTTTTATACTGCATTTAGGACTTATAAAATATAAATACATATTTTTTTAATGAATTCAAATTTTTAATTTTTTTTTATCAGCGCATGCGCAGTAAAATAAAAATTTCTTAAATAGCAACCACTATTTTGGAGACCGGATTTCGATTTCTTTATTTTTTCTGAACAACTTTGATCTTTACAGTTTGTTGATATCTTCAAAATTGCCATGTTTATGATGGTTGGAAGTTTTAAAATAGTTAATTCGTAAATAATTGTGTGGTAGATGATATCTCTCGGGATATCGTTCAGCATAAAGTGCCGCTGCGTTACGCGAATTTTGATGACCTTCTCCAAAAATTAATACCATATCGGTTTTTTCGGAATAGTTTGCCATTGTACAGAAAATAATGTGTCACGCGCGACTTACGAAAAACGTTTGACTATTCACAATCAATTTTAGAATGCTATCAAAATATCTTATTCACACAGGTTAATAGTATAACTTTCATTACAATACTATTAAAAACAAATTAAGATAATAGTAGTAGATAATTTAGTAGTTTTAATAAAAATAAATTGTTATAATAATACCTATAAATACCTATAAATTAAGATAGACCGTTGAAAAATGCAATATTTACAAATTAACTATTTTAAAACTTCCGACCGTCATAAACATGGCAATTTTAAAGATATCAACAAACTGTAAAGATCAAAGTTGTTCAGAAAAAATAAAGAAATCGAAATCCGGTCTCCAAAATAGTGGTTGCTATTTAAGAAATTTTTATTTTACTGCGCATGCGCTGATAAAAAAAATTAAAAATTTGAATTCATTAAAAAAATATGCATTTATAAGTCCTAAATGCAGTATAAAAACCCCGATTCAAATTCAATGTCACACGATCGAAATATTTCCTGTTACCTTTAAAATTGAACACACGGTATATTAAATAAGATGATTTAAAATATATAAAATTAAAAACGATGGGTAAACTTATTGTGCGATTATAGTAAAACTGGATGAATAAGAGTCATGTGACTTTATTTCAACTTGATTGTTGATGGTGTAAGGTTGTTGTGAGGTATAAAGGTTGGTGCCATAGTGTCTTAGTTTATAATCATAGGTTGATTGGATAATTTGGAACAAATTTAGATATGACCTTTAAGTCGATCTCAAAATTTGAATTTATTAACACATTTTAAGACAAATCAGTGTTTTTATGGACGAATTGTGTTGTTAAGAAAGATGGTTGAACGGAGTATATCTTAAGTTTAGCAGTTTCAATTAGAGGGATATTTTAGATTCAAATAAAAGCGATGAATATGGAAGTACAGTGAATTAATGTGGATACGCCGAGACCAAACGCATTTGCCCACATTAAGCTGTTTTCCATATAAACCGAAACTAGTTACACAGTATACATTGGAATTGAGACCAGACCATTGTTCCCATATTACGTGACTGTCCATATTAACCGGTCCGGTGCCCACATTAGGTGGTAATCTACTGTATTTGTTGTACAATATGATTTTTTATTCAGTCTGAAGACATTTTTAAGAGTAGAAAATCTGAAAATGCTTTAATCTTCTACTAGATAGAGATTATTAGTGGGGAAAAAATGTTTAATATTTATGCAAAATTTAATTTTGACAAAAATACGATTTTATATTCGTAATTTAATTAAAAAAATATTTTGACTTAATAGATGTTTAAAATTAAACATTTTTATGGTCTGTAAAAAAACTTGGTAATTCAATACAAGGTTCCTTACAAATTTTGCTTACAAGAACTAAATAAAAGTTAAGCGTGACGCCACATTTCTTTTCTATTATCGTTTAAATTTTGACTTATTTGTAAACAAATACTGTGTGTTTGCTAAAACTGGGTACACTCAATAACTTAATTACTTACATTTTTCAGTACCCTATTCATATTTTTAAATTCTGTCTGAGAGAGATTGATGATCAATTAGTCTAGTTTCATGTCCCCCAAACAGAATTCAGAAATATGTATAGGGTTCTGAGTAATACGGGTAATTTAATTATATAGTGTACCCTGTTTTAGTGGACACACAGTAAACTGACAGACTGTCTCTAAAATACAAAATGTTAGTTTAAATACTTAAATTACTAATATATTAGTATTAATAAAATATTATTTAATTGCAATTTTCAGAGAAAAAAGAAGGAACCATCACCCAAGAAAACAAATGAAGAAGATGACGGAAGTGATCAAGAAGAAATGGTTATAACGTCAGACAATGAAGCCAAAGATGTACGTTTAATTTATTTATTAAATACGTGTTAGTTAATATATTTATTTATTTTAAGATTGATGATGATGAAGTGACTAGACCTACATTTGCGGAACGAAAACGTTTGGGAAGAGACCTGTTTGACAGTGATAGTAATTCTTCTACTTCTGAACTGTCAGTTCATAGTTCTTCTGAAGAAGAGTCTAGTAATGATAGCTCTAGTAATGAGGGTTCATCTGACGGATTTGTCTGGCAAAATAAACTGAAAAAATTATGTAAAACTATGACAATGGATGATTTTGATAGAGTCAGGTAGGCAAATTTCAATGAATAATTAAAAAGTCGAATTTAATATGTAAAATATGTTTTATGAGGCTTCAATATATTTGTTTTTAGGGAGCTCACACCTACTGGAAATGAAACTCCTGTAGAAATAGATAATTTACCAAGTTCTGATGAAGAAGGATCATTTGTGAAGTATAAACGTGATGATAAAGCTGTGAAACGAAAGATTGAAGATGAACATTTAGATAAAGAAGTTGAACCTAAAAAACGTTTACTTAATGGAGAAAAAACCCCCACTGAAGAAACCCCAAGTGGAGTATTTTCAGATCATTCATATTGTATGCCTCAACAGGTATACAGTCCTCCTCCTATATCTGATTGGGAAACTGATGTTGACATAAATGATAAGTCTAAGAATGTAATAATCCAACCAGTAATAAATGAACAGAAAATACCAGAAGTTTTTCCAACAAAAATAAAACAGCCGTTAACTGTCAGAGATAACAATAAAATAGAAAACACAGATCAGTTAATTGTACAAAAACATCGTGATAACCAAGTTAAAACTAAATATTTCAACAAACGAGATATGGTACAAGAAGCAACTGTATTATTTGAGTTCCTTACTAAGGGTATAGATGTGGAAGATATTAACTATTTAAAGCAAAGCTATGATTCGCTGTTGTCCAATGATACTGTACATTACTGGATGAATGAAACACATTGGGTCAGCCATCCAGATATCCTTTTAATAATGTTTATAATTATTATTTTTAATTTAGCAATGATATGTATTGTCTTTTATAATTTTGTATTTATGGCTGATACTAGGAGGTGCATAAATTGTATTGGATTAAGTTTTACTACAAACATTAAAGGACATCACAACACTAAACACAATTTTGCTTATATTTAAAGTATGTTATAAATTATTATCTAAAAAATATAGTGTAGAATGTAGATCCCACATTTAAACAACTATTCAATGATATTCGAGCAATTTTTAAATGTGCGTTATATAAGTTTGAACAGCTTATGTTGTACTTGTAAAAGTATATTAATACAACAATATTAATATTATATACAACTATATTAATACAACAAATTCAATAGCTAAAAAACAAATTTTTAGAGGACGCTACACCCTCATTTGTTGTCTCCGTCTTACAAATGTAAAACATAGCAAAAACTGTTTTGCATGGTTAAGAACCACTTGGACTATGGTCCAAGCTAAGCAACCCAATTTCACACTATAAATAAGAGAACATTTACTGTGCAACATTTTTATTATTTTTTCGATATCAGAAATAACAAAAAGTTATTCAAGTTTGAAAAACTCAAAAATAAAGAATTTATTTATTTATTTATTTATTTTATGAACTTATTTTGTATTTGTGATATCGAAAAATTAAAAACAAAGTTGCATTGTCAATGTTCTCCTCTTTCTAGTATGAACATTTGGTTGCTTAACTTAGACTACAGCCTAGGTAGTTCTTACCTGCGCAAAATAGTTTTTGCTATGTTGTACAGTTGTACAACAGACACAACACATGCAGGTGTAGCGTCCTCTTAATTAATTCTATAGTGTATTTATGTGTTTATGACACTGGTTTGATATTAATTTTAATATACTTTTTACTTTTTCATAGTATTTAGAACTATTCAGAGTAAATTTTGTAAAATTATGTTAGTGTCTGTGATGTGCTGAGGTGGCAATGCATCAAAATGTATGTAACATTAAGAATGCAATAACAAGATATAAATATATAATACTCAATTTAAAATCCATTTTACACATAAATGTACGCAAGATTAAAAAAAAAACAAAATTTTAAAATACTATTGTAGTTTATTGAAATCATTATGTTAATTGAGCAGTAACTTTTACACGTGAAACCTAGGCAGGTGTAAACTTATCAGTTCTATGATGTCAAGAGGATATTTTTTGTAAGCTTTCATTATTTCAATGAATAATCATTTTTTTAACTTTGGATTCTTTCTTAAACATTGTTTATTATTATTTTGACTATAATAACACACTTTTAAAAAATAATTTTTGTGTTTTGATGCCTTCAATTTAAATAAAGGAATAAAGAAAAAAACAGTATCAACTATAATTGAGTAAAATAAAATTTAATTTTTAAATCTTATTAAGGTTTAAACTAGAAATTACTCTCATTATTTAAAAATTATATTAATTAAATAATTTATATAGATATTACTCTGTCAAGCTAGAGAACTGCCATCCTCCCAGCTTCACCCTGCTATCAAAACTAGTTCTCCTTTGACAGGTTTCATGTGGTGATATGCAGAACTGATTTTGGTAGGATTGAGGTGTGTTCTATGTTGGACAGAGTATAGTTCAGAGTTTTTTTTAGCTTTTTATAAGTTAAAGAAGATGAACAAATGGGTATAAACTGTAAATGAAGTAAACAGAAATTAATATAATTTTGTTAGTAGTTATTTTATTAACAAAGTTAAAATCTTCCTTAATTTATAAACACTGACAGCAGTATCAAATCAGATTCCACGCAAAAAGAAAAAAGACGAATGGAAAGTTCATGATACGGGATGTGGTAGAACTGAAGGTTATTATAAAGTGGACAGTAAACAAAAAGCTAATCATAAGGTAAATATTGCTTTTGCCTAAATTTATTTTAAACAAAGGTACATACACCTAGAGTATAATTATTGAATAATGAACATTTTATACTTTACCCATAACATAAATTAAATTTGTTTTATTAAAGTATCATTTTGGACACACAATTGCTCAATTAAACCGTATCACAGAGCTTAAACGTGTAAAAGAATCTACTGGCAAAATGTTAGCTCTTTCTCGTGAAGCACGGAGTAACCAGAGAAGGTTATTAACAGCGTTTGGGGCTACGTCAGACAGTGATTTGCTCAAATTCAATGTGTTAAAGTTCCGTAAGAAACAATTGAAATTTGGAAAGTCTGCTATACACGATTGGGGTTTGTTTGCTATGGAGTCTATTGCAGCTGATGAAATGGTTATTGAGTATGTAGGGCAAATGGTTCGCCCTGTAGTTGCTGATCTACGTGAAAGACAATATGAAGCCACTGGAATAGGTAGTTCATATCTATTCAGAATAGATTTGGATACCATTATTGATGCTACCAAATGTGGTAATCTGGCAAGATTCATTAATCATAGCTGTAATGTGAGTATTTTGTACATTATACAAACAAAAATATTTAAGTTAATTAGAAACATAAAATTAGTTTTTGCCTTTCTAGGAAAATTATCAAATTAGTAAAAGTGATATACAATTTAAGTATAAAGTTTGAAACCAATTAAAGGATATTATGTCTTTACAGTTTACAGTAATATCAAATCCGTTTTTGATAATTATTTCAATAATTTAATTAGGATATTTAACTTTCTATTTTTCTAAGTCATTACTCATTATTATATCATTTATCAGGTTTTATAGATTACTAGTAGATAGACTTCCAAACAGAATTTTAGATTTTGAGCAAAGAATGTTGATTTTACAATAACGTGTTTTGTTTGTTGTTATTTTATTTGGAGCAGTAAAAATTCTTAGATTTTTGTGGCGTTTTCTCAATTTTTGTCTTTAAGTAAATTATTCCCCAGTTTATGAAATTCTTAAAAATTACTAATTAGTGTTCAGCAGAACGGATCTTGTGTTGTTCGCTTTAATATCAAAGTGAATTGGCCTATTATCAATCTTAAAGGTAAGAATCTAGGCTATTTATATATTACCCACTTCGTAGACTTAAGGTTTGATAAATAGGTAAATTCTCACCAATATTAATGTTAACACAAATTTGCTAAGTTGCTTGTTTTTCAAAAAGATATGGAATAATGCTCGCTGACACCCTCCTATCATTTCAACAAAATAATACTCCTAAAATATTCTTTGCAATCAAAGAATATTGCAAAATTAAAACCAAATATGACCTTGGATATCTTTCAGTAATATATTTTTTAATTGCAGCCTAATTGCTATGCCAAGATAATTCAGATTGATGGGCAAAAAAAAATAGTCATATATAGTAAGCAGCCAATTGGAGTAAATGAGGAAATAACTTATGATTATAAATTCCCACTCGAAGATAATAAAATACCATGTCTTTGTGGTACCCATTGTTGCCGTGGAACGCTCAACTAGTTGAAGAATTCTTATTAAATAGTTTGTGAATGTTTTATAATTGTTTGACAACTCTTCCATAAAACTCTTGTTAATTCGATTTAAATGAATGTGACTGATGTACAAGTTATTGTTTTGAATCGCTTTATCGATATGAAGCGTTTGCATTTTATTTTTATTTTTTCTATGTGTACATAATATTGTAAAGTTATTAAATGTGTATTATTTATATAATAACAGTTCCATGTTTTATCTATTGAATTTAAAAGAAAATATTATTTTATTTCCAAGTATTTTAAACAAAAAATAATGGTAAAAAAGTCAGAATAGTTTTTGAGTGTTATTAATTCAGTCTCAGGTCAGATCAAAGAAAAAATGTAAATTGTATAAATGAATAAATGTTGTTGTGATTTAGGTGTTGTGTTTGTTTAATATAGATTAAATATTGGTATTAAGTGGATATATCGACATACGCAACGAATAAGGCAGTAACTCAATTTTATTGTGTAGAATGTATGCAATAAAATAGAGTTACTGCTGTCTTCGTTGCTCTTCCAGAAAAACAGTGATACCCTATAGAAAATTTAAAAATTTGGAAAATTGAGTTACTGCCTTATTCGTTGCTTATGTCGATATATAAGGATATAGAAAATATATAATTTACACATAATAATTTTTCATAAAAATTTTAATTCATTCTGTGACATAAGTTCAGTATTTAAATTGATCGAATCACGAAAAATGGATGAATTTTGACAAGTTTCGACTTCAATTCTCATATTATTTTTTTGATAATTTATATGCATAATATACAAGGCAAGGGTGTTACAGAAATACTTGACAAATTAACTCTTTCCGGCATGGTTGGACCCCATATGACGTATGTCCCACCTCAATAATACACATTTCAACACGGTGTAGCGAAAAATAAGTCAAAAGCCAAAAGGTGTTGTACAATCAGAATTATTTTTCCGAGCAACGTTGGGTAATTCAGAAAGTATTTTAATAAAAATAGGTAAATAAAATATAAATGTAAAAATAATGAAACCAGTAATATAAACATGTATAATTCAAGTATGAATATTTACTCACTATGGTCACTACCTGCACGGTGGGTTAAAATTTGGACTCAAACGTTTTATGTCGTTCCAGACATTTTTATCAAACCGCTATTGATAAAATGATTTTGTATGCACTAAATGAAACTATACAATACTGTTTGATATAATATGTAATACTATTATTAATATGAACCTTTAGATTAATAAATTACAAAGTTTTCAAAAAAATAAATATTTGGATGAACAGAGTAATCCCACATAAACAACATAAAATTAATTAATTTCTGATTTATTCCTGGAATACAACATATACAAATAATCGATCCCTTAAACTGTTTATATTTATGAATTGGTAAGCAATCATTTTTAACTACCTGGAAAGATTAATAATTAAAAAGGTGGGTTATTTAAATATAAAATATAATTATATAGCCATATAGGTTACCTTAAAAGTTTCAAGTACTAATAATATTTTTAAGATACAACAAAATAACTATAAAAACTATGTATACATATTTTTAATATTTTTTGGTTACAGAATAACCTACTTACGTGGGACATTATTTTAAATTTTAAATCATTAGCTGTAATAGTTGAACATTTTAGAAATGTTTTACAACAAAATCATTTTAGATTCTGAGTGAAACGATGAATGTATTGATTTTACAATGATGTGTGTTTTTTTATTATTTTTGTGTCTGTGTACACGATAAGTAGTCGAAATAATTCTTCGATTTTCAACTTCAGTATCTTGTTCGATTGGAAAGTGAATATCGTTGGTGCATTGGGGAGGTCAAAATTTAAAATACGCAGTACTTTTCAAAAGCGCCAAGAAAAACAAAAGAAAAATTAAGGAAAAACGGGAATTTTTACGCAAAATCGATTTTTCAGAAAATTGAATTTGGTTTTTGGTGTAACTTTAAAACAAATGACCGTAGATACATGAAATTTTTACTGGTTGTTTATATTTGCATTTTCTATACACGATAACATTTTCAAAATATTTTGATTTATTTTGAACTGTTTAGGGACATTTTCATTTTTCATTTTTTTTAGTTTATTTTCTAGAAATATCAATAAAATTTTATTTGTTGGTTAAAAAAACTTGAAAATTTAATAGAAGGCTCCTAGTATATTGTTTCAAAGGCAGATGAAAAATATTAAAAATCGTTAGTTACAGTTTTTTTTTATGAGCATTTAAAGTTCAAAAATTGACAAAATATGGAAAAATCACGAAAATTAGCAAATTATGTTGAGTTAAGAATTCGTAAAAATTTTTCTTTTTAAATCTAAGATTTGAAAATATAATACAAGTTAACTATAAGATAACTATAAGTTTTCTACCTTTATCAATAAAAAAATCTCTACCGGACAGTCAAATTAAATTTTTATGAGCGTTTGAAATTCAAATTTTTACAACATTGGATGTTCACTCGATTTCTCATGTAGCGATTTCCTTATTTTGTTGTTATTCATAAACGAATAACTATAGATACATGAAAATTTTACTGAATGTTTATATTAGCATTTCCTATACACCATACGATTTCGAAAAAATTTTGACTCTTTTGAGCTGTTTACGGACATTTACAGCTTTCAATTTTTTTTTTAGTTTTTTTTCTTCTATGAATATCAATAAAGTTTTATCTGTTGTGCCAAAAAGTGTAAAAATGTAATACAAGGCTCTTGATATATTGTTACAATATCAGTTGAAAAATATTAAAAATACATAGGCACAATTTTTTTTATAAGCATTTAAATATCGAATTTTGACAGAATTTTTCAAAATCTCGAAAATTATTAATCATCGTAATTAATATTTAATAAATTATAAAATGTTGTTTTTATAGCTAAGGATTGTAAATTAAAAACAAGATTCCACATAAGAAGTTAATTCTCTTAAAGAAAAATCTAAAAATATACAATCACAGTTTATTTTTATAGTCATTTTATGTTAAAATTTTAACGAAATTACATATTAAAAAACCTAGTTATTTTGTTGTGATTATAATATATAATATTATTCGTGGGTACCTACTTGAAACTTCTAAAGTGTACTATTATATATCTATGATAGTATCAGGGTTTGTTATTGATGTTGATGTATAACGTGTTAAAAGTACCTAATGAATATTGTGATAATGTGATATGATTAATTTGGAATTTATTATAGGTCAATTTTTATTAATACCATAGATATGTATATAATTTGTCTTAAACCTAGACTGGCATACCGTCTTCGCTCAGAATCGTTTTTCTTATACAATGATATTGTATCATTGAATTCAAATTTAATACCATCCATTATACAGTGACCCACTTGTAACCTACTGTACAGCAGAGCGACATCCACTTACCCACCTTTTTTAATTTGATAAATGTTGGTAAAACTTTATATGCTTATAAAACGAAATCGTCCCTATACATTTTAATACTTTTTGAATTTAAAATGTTTTATATAATTGGATCTAGGCAAATAGCATACGACCCAGAGCAAAAAAAAAAAGAGAATAAAATGCTTATTACGAATTTATTTAACACACAGTCTCCTGGCCACGGAGAAGGTGCACGTACATCAAATTACAATTATTATTTAGAATATGCCATCACATCAGCTCAAGCACGGCGTATAATTCGGTCTGCGGTTGCAACACTACTTCATACAATTGTGCAGTGTGGCGCCGATCGCCCGGACCAGTATTTATCAGTAATTGCTATTATCGTCGTTTAACAGGTTGAAAGGCGGTACCCGCACGGTTTTATTTCACAAACATTATAAATAATGATAATAGTTATAATAAGTTTACAAATAAAATATATTACCACATATATTTAACAAAAATAATGAGATTTCGAAAAATTGTAAGGATGGTCACTGGTCAGTACAAAAGATTATACAATTTAAAATATAGGTAGTCATTAATAAGTTTACAGCATTTTAACTATCATACATGATTTCAAAAATCTTTAAATAAAGTTAATATTTTGAAATAATGAATATCCATAATTCACTATTACAACTTAAAAGGATCAATATTTAATTTTTGTATCATAAACCTATTATTAAATCATTCATTGCAAAAAAGTTGAAAATTGGTTGAATGTATAAAAGTTGTAATATTTATAATGGAACTAGAATATCATTTAATCAATTAACTTATAATCAGTCAAATATCAAACATTAATTCTATAATAGGTGTAAAAAAAATATAGGTACATAAAAACTTAAATTAAATCAAGTAACAGAGTAAATTAAGTAATTGAGTAACATAAATTATTTGGCTGAAAAAAAATCAATAAAATAAAAAAGGAAGATACAATTAATATTTAATACAAAATAGACATTTAAACCTAAATTACCAGTTCATTTCTCTCAATGGAGAAGACTGAGCAACTGGTTTCACAGTGTTAAAAGTATTATTTTTAAGTACATAAGTTTTATTTTTGGGGGCAATATTTTCAGCATCAACACGTCTGCGAGGTGTAGCCAAAGCATCTAAACGGTTCTTTGATAAACCAGTTGTCTTTAGTTTATTAATTTGTAATTTAGCTGCCATTGCATTCTTTTCCTGTAAACATTTTTTATATTGAAATTACATTGTATCTTTTTTATTTTGATTATTAGTTTAAAAATTACAATTCCTCTTATTAGGATAAATTTTAAATATAGATTTCAAACTTACATTTGTCAAATCAATTATTTTTCTTTCCAAATCGTCATGTTTTTTAGCAATTTCTTCAAGTTGAATGTTTCTGTCAAGGGTCCTAAGAAGATAGAATAATAATATATTTTTACATATTTAATTAATTTAAAACAAAATGAAATGTTTACTTCTCATATTTCTCTAAAAGTTGTTTGTAGTTTGGACCTTCTGGATCTGTATTTTCAATGTCCAGTTTAAGTTTTTGAATAATTTCTTTTACTTCACCATCAACCATAGATTCTAATTCATCCAGAGCAACCAAAATATATCTCATTTTAGTTAACCATTTATCTTTGACTGCCTCAGAAATCTTCATATAATCATTAACTTTTTCAGTAAGTTTATGTTCAACAATGGCAATTTGATCAGCGGCCAATTTTTCAAAGGATTTTTTTTCACCAATTTCTTCTCGCAAACGTGCAGTTTCATTCTGTAAATGTTCATTATGTTTGCATGTTTCGCGTAAACGATCGCAAACTGCATATAAAGCAGCTTGAGAGTTTTCAATGACCATCCTACATACACGGTTTTCCAATGCCTCTGAGCAAGCACTGCGACATGTATTAATGTAGTCTTTACACGTGTCAGTGGTACTTTTAGAATCATCTAGTTTTTCAATTTCAACAAGAGCTTTAGTAAGGTTGGAGTCTAATTTTTTCAATTCCAAAAGACGTTTAGCTCTTATTTTTGTCGAACCAATTCTTGTTGAATCAGATTCTACAGTTTTGTTAGATTTTTTAGAACATTCTGTGTAAACTGAACTTTGCGAACTATAATCAAAATAAAAACAAAGTTATAAAAAAAATAAAATACATGTACTAATAAGAATGCTGAAATTATTATATATGAATATGAATTGCTCAGAATAATTTATAGTAGATACACAAATTGTTTTACAGTAAAAATATGTACATAGGTAATAGTATGAATATATTATTATACTACCATACCTGAAATTAGATCCGATTTTAAACGTTGAATGAACTTTTACAATTTTTTTGGCAGTCTAAAATATAAATATAACAAATATTAATTTAAAGATATAAACAGTTATGCAATAAAGTATTAACTATAATACCTATACACCCGCCTATACATTTAAATACAGTATTCATATACTTTTACATTAATCCATGTAAGTAAATGTCTAGTTATATGCATATTATGCTATACAGTCAAATCTGCTTAATTGGGACACATCAGCGGTGACTTATTTGTTCCCATTATCAGACTGTCCCGATTAACCGAATAATTTTACATACAATATATTCATTCGGAACTGTCATTAATGTCCTCATTAAGTGGGTGTTCCCTTTAAGTGGAGTCCCCATTAAGCAGATTCTACTGTATTCATACTCAAAAATGTATTAAAATTAAAGAACTGTAATCAACAAAATATGTTTATTATTATTTTGGTAAATTAAAAATGATAAGTGGGTTTTATAATTCATTACTTTGATAAAACCCATTTATCATTTTTAAATAAAAGTAAATATTTAGTGAATTCAAATTTTGGCGTGTGATCTACAGGGTCTGATGTGATGGTCCGGGTAACCATATAAAATGTAGTTTGTGATTAAATAAACGGGGATAATGTACGATAATGTTAATTGAAAAACCGATTAGAGAAATTAATTACATTATTTTATTAGGTATAATTATTAATATTTATTTGTTTTTAATAGAATATGTTAATAATGATTGCGTTAGCAGTTTTTACAATGACCACAAATTCGTTTTTTCATTGTAGAAAAAAAGAGATTGGCAAACGCTCTTCTCATTTATAGAATGAGAGGTAGAAATTGGTACAATGATTTACAGCATTCAGTAGCAAGATTATTACAGAACTTTTAAATCCATGGATTTATTTACCAAACTGTGAATCATACTAAATATTTTGTGGATCCAATATTGGATATGAAAATATTGGAGTTTATATTCAAACAATAGAATTATTGTGGAAGTTATTTAAGACCAAATACAACATAAACAGTTAATGGGGCCTTTCCAATGTAAAAGAAGAATAGTGATCATGTCACCGCCCAATACAAAAATCAAATATCAGTATACGCTTAAAAAGCAACATTCAATAAATACATTACTATTTTAAGTAGCATAGATAAAAAGGTACTAGGTGGATCACACATTGGACCAATCTCCAATATTTATTATTTACGTAATATTCAACAAACACCTAATAATACAAAATTAATAAATTGTACTTACTTGTGGGACAGAAGGTTCTTTAAATCTCTCCGCTTTGTCAAATTTTGAACCTTTAACAAGTTTTGGACATGGACTTTTTGGATCATATGTTCCAGGTGGTGGTGCACAACCTAATAATAGAAAAGAAATATTATAAATATAAATTTGGGAGTTGGTTATTTTAATAAAAGGTACCTAAATGTATTTACAGTATTTGGGTATTGTTTATCAAAAAGTATTCTCCTCGGCATTCTCTTACCCATTAAAATTGTTTTTTTCTAATTGTTGTGTTATTTGAGCATTTTAATACAAAAGGATACCATAACATAAGGTGTTAGGTTAATATAAGGAATGAAATTAAGGAATGTAATTGGTACAATGGTTAATAATATGGGAATATCACGATTTACATGTGTTTTAATCTTAAAAGTAAATTTTTGAACAAGGTGAACTGCAATATTATGGAGCAAATACATTGGTTTAAACTCTAAGCTATTACTTAGGTTTTTATTTTTTATTTGCCATTAAAGGAAACAATGAAATATTTAACAATTGAGTAGGATAAAAAAAAAAAATAGAATAAATTTGTTAAAACAATATAATATGTTTTAACTACTTATACTAAAATGTTAATTAAATACTTTAAGAAAATATATGGTACAATAAAAAGGAGCAATTTTGGCTAAATTTATGGGGGTGCTAGTATTATGTCGACTAAAGTCGTCAATGCTTTGCCTCCCACACACCCTCCATTCATAGACCTGAATTTTGTAGGATGCAACAGTTGAATAGTGTGGAAATCTTTTTGAATTAAATGTTCCATTGAGATGTTATAGTTCTTATTGTTAATTAAAATAGAACAGTTATAATTAAATATACCTATGCAAGCACATTTTTCCAAACAGAAATCTAATAGGTAGCTCATAACCTATATTTTATAGGTAGGCTAACTAAAACTAACTTAATTACTAATTTTAATAATAAACATAATTTAAAAAATTACAACCAATTCCAACATAAAATTTAGCTAGGTGACTAACATCAGTATATTACTGTAAATTTGCATAAACTTTTTAGTGATTATTATTATTATTAATGGGTAATTATAAGTGATTGTTATAGGTACTGACGACTGACTAGTGGAGTATTGTAATAACTTTGTTACTTACTCGAGACTTCGTTAAACCGCTTGATTTTGCTCTTTACAAACGACATAATTGAATTGGCTCGGTATTAGGTAAATCAGATATAAATAAAATAAAATATAGAAGAATAAACCGGCTAACAAGTTTAAAAAAAGAATGAAATAAAAATACACATTTGTTAACTAATATGAAATGAAAAAAAAAAATATTACAATAAAATTAACAGTCTGATTTGCATCCGCACGGAACAATTTATCTGAATAACGTATTACGGTCTACACTCTACGGGACCAGAACCAAAATAAGGTCTAAAATGAGCGCCAAAAACGGAAACGAAAAGGGGTCTACTCCGAAGGGCAGCTGTTGCGTGAATTGGCCGTTGGGGTTTGTCAGTTTGTCCTTTGTTGGTCTGGGCCCTGTGGACTGGGGAGTGGGGACAATATTATTTAACCATGTAAATAAAAGAAAACCGTTGAAGAATAAAATAACGGTTTTTCCCAGGTCGAGATAATAGTTATCAGTGCCCAGGACCAAAGACGTTCATAAAGCCACAGAATAAATTATATAATGGCATAGAACAATAAAGTAAAGCCGAGTCCCGCGCATAACCAACCCCGGATTAAGGGGGCGGGGGGAGGGCAAGGGGGGCACGGTCCCGGGGCCCATTGATTTTGAGGGCCCATATTTATCCCCAGAATATATTTGTTTAACACGTCCAATACAGGTTTAAAAAAAAAATTATGTAAGTAAGTGGGTATGTAGGTAAATTATTATTAATAATTATAAAATAAAATTGTACTCAATTTTATTTCACGAAAAATTACTATAAATAATGATCTATGTTTGCCAACAATTTTGTGTTTGTTTGTTTTTTTTGAGCATTTTAGATTACCGATTTAATTATTTAAGTATATAAAAAGTTATAAGAAAAAAATATTTAGCTCTTGTAAACAGGGCCTAAAATTGTGTGCAGTAGCACAGACTATGTGCAGTAGCTAATATTAAATGTGCAGTAGCAAATTTAAAAGTGTTCTGTACTTATTTTCTGCTTTTTTACATTTTTATTTGATTAATATTCAATATTTTAGATTCTAAGTGGAACGATGAATGTATAGATTTTACAATGATGTGTGTGTAGGTACACAATAAGTAGTCGAAATAATGCTTCGATTTTCAACTTCAGTATCTTGTTCGATGGGAAAGTGAATATTGTAGGTGCATTGGGGAAGTCAAAATTTAAAATTCCCAGTAATTTTCATAAGAGCCGTGAAACACAAAAGAAAAATTTAGGAAAACGGGAATTTTTACTCAAAATCGACTTTAGTTTTTGGTGTAACTTTAAAACAAATTACCGTAGATACGTGCAATTTTAACTGGTTGTTTATATTTACATTTTCTATACACGATAAAATTAAGATTTATATAGAGATAATGATAAAGATTACAACATTGGATATATTCACTCGATTTTTCATGTAGCGATTTTCTTATTTTGTTGTAATTCAAAAACGAACAACTATAGATACATGAAAATTTCACTGTATGTTTATTTTATCAATTCTTATACTTGAAAAAATTTTCAAAATATTTTTATTTGTTTTGAGCTATTTACGAACAATTTCATGTTTCAATTAATTTTTTTTTTCTATGAACGTCAATAAGGATTTACCTGTTGGGTCAAAAAGTGTAAAAATTTAATACAAGGCTCCTGATATATTGTTACAATAGCAGTTGAAAAATACATAGGCACAATTTTTTTTTTATAAATATCTAAAGATCAAATTTGGACAAAATTCATCAAATTTAAAATTGAATAATTATTTTGTAGTTAAAAATGTATAAAATGTTCAACTTTTATATCTAAGGATTGAAAAATTTAAAAGAAGATTCCAAGTAAGTAGTTTATTCTGATACCAAAAAATATAAAAAAGTACATAGATACAGTTTATTTTTATAGCCATTTTAAGTTCAAATTTAGACGAAATTGCATATTAAAAACCTAGAATAACTGTATAGGTATACAGTAGAAACTCGATTATCCGTGACTCGATTATCCGTGTTCGCGATTAACCGTGCTCACTCTTCCGAAAATTTAAAAATAAATATGGACTGTAGATATTAGGGGTTTCAATGGTGTTTTTTTGCACCCTTGTATCTGTGACACGGATATATATTTTGAATAAACACGTATTTCACGTGACACGTGAATTCGAAATTGGTACGAGGACTATAATAATGATTAAACAATCACCGAAATTGTCGTCCACGATCGCAGTTACCTGTAACGCCATCCGTGCCTGATTGTCGTGATTTCCATCGCCGCACAATATAGTTTTAAATCTCTCCAAAGTCCTAGGTGGCTAAGTTTGTCACGTCAGCCAGTAAATAAGTACAATCGATAATCCTGATTTGCCAATACGGGCCAACGCAGTTATACTATACGTCTAGTTTTACACATAGGCGCAAATTGGGGGGGGCTTAGCCCCCCCCCCCAAACTTAGCCGTAGCCCCCCCAAAAATCTACAAGTTTATAATGCTATAATATTATAAATGTGTACAGTTTTTTTTTTTTTATGTTTAAATAATTTTTTTTTTTTATTGATCTTTATATATATCTAACTCGGCAGCAAAGGCCATTAGTTAATCTCTTACATATTTAAATAATATTATATATTATTTATGTTATTTATAAAATAAAAAATTATCACCGATCTTGTAGAAATGAATGTATAATATTATTTTTATCCTATATTATTTGGAATTATTATTACATTGTGTTATTATTGTTATCACGTCATGATCGCGATTGTATATTATACTAAATGTATATTTAGGTACCTACCTACTTCATAATAAATAATTATATAAGATACTCTTTAGTCTTTACTAAACCCACGATGCTAGTAACAGGCGATAAGCCCGCATAATATTTGACATGACGTGTTTATATATAGTTTATTCTATATTATATTAAATGTTTATTTTTATTGTTTTAAATTCGGCAAACTAGGTCTTTCCCTGCGACCATTTAGTGCGCCTATCTGAATTCTGAATGCATTTATATTTTGGTTACATATTATGGTTAGGTACGTAATTGAGTATGCTAAGACCAATAAAAGGTTACAATTATAATTTGTTGTTTGTTTATATTGATTGATATATAGGTATATTGAAATTAATTAATAATTAATATTAATATAGTATTACCTACTATGTTGTTAAAATCATGTTATTATAAGTCACACCCCCACTTGGAAATTTAGGTAGGTCGACCGTAATAATGAAGAAAAAAAATTTAATTGGATTATGAAGTAATATTATAAGGTAAGATAATATGAATGGTGACGGTGGGGGGTGTGGGGGGCATAGCCCCCCACGGGTCTGCTTGCCCTTAATATATTCAGCCCCCCCAAGTCAAAAGTTGAAATTGCGCCTATGGTTTTACAGTTTACTAGTAAAAATAAACCCACTAATATTTAATAATGTTAGGTACTTACCTACTAGTCGCGGCAGTAATGCGAAAGCACTTCCCGCGGCGCCGTTGGTTCAAAACGGAAAAAAAAAAAAAAAAAGGTACCTACCTACTTAGTTAATAACGTTTATTTCTCTTTATTTAAAATGATAAAATATAGGTAAAAAAAAATGTATGCATATGTGAATTTAAAAAATAAATAATAATAAAATATATAATTTTTTAGAAATCTTTCTCTTTACGAAAAAAATTAATTTTTTGTTTATGTTATCTGAGATAATTTTGCCGCCCCCGGGCAATTGCCCACCGGTGCCCCCCCCCCCCCCCCCCTTAAAACCAGCCCTGGGTACTATTATTTTATCTATGATAGTATAACGGTTTGTTGTTGTCATTGATGTATAAAGCGTTATAAGTACCTAATGGATATTGTGATATGATTAATTTGGAATTTATCATAGGTACCTACCTATTATAGGTCAATTTTTTTTTAATACCATAGATTAGTATATAATATTATGCCTTATATCTAGAATGACATACCGTCTCCGCTCAGAATCATTTTTCTTATACAATGATATCATTGAATTCAAATGTTATACGATCCATTATACAGCGACCCACTTGTAATTTACTGTAGGTACAGCAGAGCGACATCCACTTGCCCACATTTTTTTTATTATTATGATTTTTTTTTTAATAAGCTTAACGCCAACCGCCTTTTTATATTGACTATTGAAAGTTAATTAGCATATTTTATTCGTTTAAAATCCTTAACACTAAAAATAATACCAACTACACCATATTCTGGGCGGCTTATATTATAATAATTAATAAGTATATTAACCCAAGCTACCTATTTCGTTTTTAATTTTAAAATGTTTAGCCATATAGCCATATAGGTATCAAGGAGTTTTATAAAAGATTGTCTTAGATTGTATTTAATTTATTATAAATTATTATTAATAAATAGCAAGAACAATAAATTTTGCAATGAATTTATATGTGGCATAGACAAGCACTATTTGTTCATTATTTTAAAATATTTTGGTGTGGAATTAGGTGTGCAGTAGCGAAATATCTTAATATTAGGTCCTTTTTGTAAATTAGGTATACCAGTTAAAACTTAAAAGTATTAATGTATATTATACTAAAGTTTAGAGGACCATAGTTGAAAACCTAGTAAACCAAAATTGATCATTTTACTGTCAAAATGTTCAGAAAAAAATTTTTACCAGAATCCCTAAAAAAAGATGGTAGTTACCATTTGAAAAAATAAAGTCGATTTTATTAATGGTACAACTGCGTGTTTAAAATTTTTTAAAATGTTATAAAAAAAGAAACACGTTTTTTTTGTTTAATGAAATTCCATATCATCGATCCATAATTGTTAAAAAAAAATCTGCCTACCTAACCTACAGGTACATCCTATATATTTTTTGTATAGTAAAAAATTATACAATAATACACGGTGTTTCAAAAGTCTTCATCCCACAATTTTAATTGTCCATATACCTAATATAATATAACTTAATTAGAATTTTTTTCGCAAAAGGCTATTTGTTTTAGTAAAAAAACCATATTTCTTAAGAAGTTTGCAT